TCGATTCCGGTTAAGGGCATGTACCTTGGTTGCAGGCACATCCCCAGGAGGGGGTGTGCAAGAGGCAGCTGATGGATGTTTCTCTCTCATCGATGTTTCAAACTCTCTACCCCTCTCCCTTCCTCTCTGTGAAAAATCAATAAAATATATTTTTAAAAAAGGATCCTCAACCATGTTTTTTTAAATAGCAAACTTTCTCTGAGAGCCTTATCTAGATTTAAATTTCCAACCATGTCTTTCTGTGGGTCTCAGTTCCAACTTATCTGAAGGGAAGTGTTGTTTTTCCCACTAGTTGACTCCAGCCCATTCATTCAACACTCAGGGATTGAGGAAACCCCTGTTCTGTTTACCAGGCACCAGATTATGCCAGAAAAATGGCTGAAAACCAAAGGAGTAGAGATGTTTAGGGCAAGGAGATCACGCCTAGCTAGGATAATCAAGGAAAACTGACCTTGAGGTGGTCTCCCAAAAATTAAAAGAGGGAGACCTTCCCTTGCAAGGAAACTGCTCAGATAAAGGTAGAGACTAGAAGATGGGAAGGTTGGAATTGTGATCATCCCATCAGGCTCAAGTACCAGGGACATAGAGGAAGTAGGCGGACGTGGGCCTGGAAAGGTGGCTTGGAACCAGGACTCAGTGATGGCGAACCTTTTGAGCTCGGCGTGTCAGCATTTTGAAAAGCCCTAACTTAACTCTGGTGCCATATAGAAATTTTTTGATATTTGCAACCATAGTAAAACAAAGACATATTTTTGATATTTATTTTATATATTTAAATGCCATTTAACAAAGAAAAATCAACCAAAAAAAATGAGTTCGCGGGTCACCTCTGACATGCGTGTCATAGGTTCGCCATTGCTGAACTAGGTGAAGGAAGGCAAGAACAGCAGATTGAGGGGTTTGGACTTCATGCTCCCTCTAATGGGGGGGGGGGGGTTCCTGAAGGTCCTTGAGCAGGGACTTTGTGGTCAGTGAAGTGCTGAGGACCGTGTACCTGAATATATCATGCAGGAGGAGAGATCACAGTTGCCTGAAGGGGAGGGGTTAGATTCAAAGCGGGCGTCCAAGGACAGTGGATGGGAGAGGGCAGAGTCAAGGGTGACTGAGAGAAAAGAGCAGAGGGAAGGAGCCAGGAGAGGAAGAGGAAGCTAACCAGGGGAGCATGGTTGGTCTTATGAGTTGTGGTGGCCCCCGTGGCTGTGTGAGAGGGCAGGATGGGAGAGCCAGGCTTGCAGCTGGGGAGTGAGGGCCTTGTCTGGGGTCAAGCCTTCTGCAGAAAGTTCCATTCACATGAGCTCTTTCAGTCCTCAGGACACCCAGTGAGCTAGATAGAGTTATCTTCCTTTTTGTAGATAAGGAAACAGGCTTAGCTGAGAGCCTTCTGACCCTAAGGCAGTGGTTCTCAACCTTCTGGCCCTTTAAATACAGTTCCTCATATTGTGACCCAACCATAAAATTATTTTCGTTGCTTCTTCATAACTGTAATGTTGCTACTGTTATGAATCGTCATGTAAATATCTGATATGCAGGATGGTCTTAGGCGACCCCCGTGAAAGGGTCATTCGACCGCCAAAGGCATCGCGACCCACAGGTTGAGAACCACTGCACTAAGGCCTGACCCCTTAACCACTGTATGTCTCTGAGGAATGTTGAGGTGGAAAGGCAGAAAGGTGTGGGGTTCATTTTAAAATGAATGACTCGGGATGCCCTGTCGGTTTGATTTAGTGGTTGAGCATCGACCTAGGAACCAGGAGGCTACGTTTCTATTCCTAGTCAGGGCACATGCCCAGGGTTGTGGGCTTGATCCTCAGTGGGGGACATGCAGGAGGCAGTCGATCCATGATGTGTCTATCACTCTATTCCTCTCTCTCTCTCTCTCTCTCTCTCTCTCTCCAATAAACACATATTTTAAAATGAATGACATAGGCGTGAGCCTCAGAGTAGGTCATTGGGAGATCAAGTTTAAAGTAAACCTTTAAGCTGAAGGTCTGCTGCAGGGAAAGCTGCTGACCCAATAGGGGAACATTTTTGACCCTTGGTGATAGGGAGCCAATTCCTAGAAGCTGAGAGATCTGCTAGAACTCTGTATGACCCTGTACAAGTTACTTAACCTCTTGAGCTTAACCTCACTTAGCCTCCATTTGGCCCTCTAATAATTAGGTTGCAATAGAGCAGTGATTTTCAACTTTTTTTCAATCTCATGGCACACATAAACTAATTACTAAAATTCTGCAGCATACCAAAAATATTTTTTGCCGCTATGACCAAAAATAGGTGTAATTTTGATTGATTTACAAAAACAACAACAACAATAATAATAATAGGAATTACCTACCCTTTTTGCTCCAAAGTGACTTTAAAAAAAAATCAAATGTCAATACTATACTTGTATATAAGGATTTTTAGTACCAAGAATTAATCAGACCTAACCTTGTTATAGATATGACCAATAATATGCAACTCTGTTCTATGACTTATATATTTACGATTCAAGACAGGACATTCACACCAAATGTCTATTGTGTTGTCTGTTGTCATTTTTTTTCTTTGACAGTCTAAGGGAAAAGAGGGTAGTGCCCCTGACTAAATAGTCAGGTATTGTCCGTTTTAAACATTCTTGCAGCACACTGGTTGAAAATTGCTGTAATAAAGGATGACAAAGGAACTTCTAAACGATAACATTCTATAATTTCAACACACAAGTGTCACTATTTGTGTTATCTTTTAATCTTTATTTCACACCCCCATCCCTCCACATACATCTTGGTACCTCCCAAAATACCTACCAGAATGCTTTTCACATAGTAGGTGCTTTAAAGATGCTTGACTTATTGACTATAGATGGGCATATAGTGGAAGAACCCTATACTGGGCCTGTAGATGATGACTTGTGAATGTTCCAGAGCCGGGAACCACTAGTGACCATCCTGAGTGGCTATAATTGACAGGCTAGAAAACCAATCAAGATGGTCAGCAGATTGGCACCTGATGAATGAATGGCATTATAGTGTGGAATGAAAGCAAATTGCTTCCCTACCTACAGTTTCAAATAAAATAAAGAAAAAGTGGAACCTGAAGACAATGGACTTATCTTCCTTCAGTCTTGGAACTTGAAGCTTGCCCGCATTCTTGGGCTGCTTATCATTTTCTGCTTTATTATGACATGTGGCTGAAAGGCTTTGGGAGTTGAGTCACAGCTAGTTACTCCAGAATCAAGGCATTC